TCTCTCTCTCTCTCTCTCTCTCTCTCTCTCTGTGTGTGTGTGTGTGTGTGTGTGTGTGTGTGTGTGTGTGTGTGTGTGGCCCTGCCCTAATTTACTCCTGCTGCAATTCCCAAACACGCCCCCACCCTCTCCCTTTCCAAGTTCGCCGACCCTTTGGGAGCCCGGATTCGGGCAGGGCCAGGTAGGCACAGAGATGGCCCCCTACCAAAGAAAAAGGCTGTGCCGTGGGGAGGCAGCTAGCTGGGTGATCTGCAAGGGCGCCTGGGGACATAGAAAGGCAAAATAAAGATTAATCTCAATTTTTCTGCAATTGTACTGATGACTATGCAGGTCCATCTTCATCAGAAGTTTCATTCTATGGGGCGATACAGGTGTGAGAAGGACCTGGCATGGATATTGTTCAATGGGCATGAGATCTTCATTGAGTTTGGTGGCATTCACGATGATTGGATCGATGTGATGGTCTTCGTTGAGTTCGGTGCCATGCAACGCAAACGACACCCAGTGGACTGGGTTGATGAGAATGTGTTGCATTCGATCACCGAGCTTTGCCACGAGCCGACAGGCCTTCCAGGTGTGCATCTGGTTATTAAAATCCTGCGCCCCGGCTGCTTGAAAGCGCATAAAATTTTGCCCCGCAGGTATCGAGACGATCGCCAGACTGTGACAGAGGAAGAGTTACTTGAGAGGATTGAATGTGAAGGGTCTGATTACATGCATTCTTGGGAGGCAGTCTGCGGTGCGCAAGGCGAAGAAATCATACGAGCTTCTTCTGATCTTGCAATTGAGCTGATTAGACCTCGTGTGCTCAAGTACCGCCCGTTGTCGCGAAAAATGGAGGTGGGGGGTACGGGTACCGTCTCCCAGGGCTTTCGCGGTTCTCTTCAACCTAGTGGAGAGCCCTCACATGCTACGAATTGCACCGTGCCTAAGGGTGAGAACTTGGTTGAAATCATAGAGCAGGGTCTCGAGTCCGTGATCGAAACAGTTAAGGAAAACACCAGACGAGTCCTGGAGAGGCAGGACAAGCTGTCTAATTTTGTCATAGAGCAGCACACCCATCGCCTCCCACATCTTCTTTACGTCACTGAAAAAAAATCGTCTGGGCTCCGCAAAAAAATGCTGTTCTTCATCGGCTTGCGGACAGTGGAACTGCATCTTATGTGCGAGTACCGAGGGGGGATCCATTTTGTGGATGGTCAGAGGGGGAAGAAGACACGGTTTGAAATCGACGAACGGCGTCATTTCTGGACATTTTTCAAGTGGACGCTCATTACCCTCTCTGTGCTTGTGAAAGCGGGTTTTGCCGTCACCAGCGGCGTCTTCCAGCTCGTGCCAGACATGGCCGATGCTGCCAACTGGACAACCTTCGTGATCGGAGAGCTGGGAACGGCTGCCATGGATGATCTTGTGGACCCGGAAGACCTGCAGAGAAGAATGAATGCCCCAGAAAAAGATGCGTTTGTGGGTGGCAGTGCAGATGATGGAATCCAGCGTCAGCAAGCAGTGGCCTGGCTGGACGGCATCCTCAAAGGCGGTGACAGAAGAGAGATACGGGAGCTGTTTGACCTGATGCAGGTGAGGTACAGAGACACAGACTCCGTAGCCTGGATATGCAAGTCCTGCTGGATAAAGAATAGAATTGCGCTGGAGCTGCTTTAGACCTGTAAGAGGCCAGGCCCTGGATTTGAACTCATGACGAGCTGGCTTATCACCAACCGCAGCCATGTACCGATTGAAAGTAGCCCGATTCTGCAAGTCCTGCTGCAAGAAGACTTGAAACTGAGGGCATACTCACACCCGGCACTTTCGTTGATGTATATGCCCGCTTTTCCGACCACGGATAGATGCACTTGACCACGATTACGTCTACAGAGAAGTTGAAAAGGCCTTCGTGTGAGTAGGCCCTCCGGCTCTGTAACGGTGTAAGTTCCGTGTAACCTGGATATGCTGAAAGAAGAGTGGAAACACGGTGGAGCTGCTTTAGATGAGTAAGAGGCCTGAATTTGAACTCGTGACCGGATGCGAGTCCTGCTGCAAAAAGAGTGGAAACACGGCGGAACTGCTTTAGACGAGTCAGAATCCTGGGTTTGAAGAGTCATGACCAGTTGGCCGGCTTATCAGTAACGGTAGGCATGTAGCATTCAGCCACAGGCTCTGTTGCGAAAAACAGCTACTGTAACAGTGTTCAGTGTGTTGTTTGCTTACAAGAGTTTGGGGCCCATAACTTGAATGCTCCCGGGATTTGAACTCCTTACCTGCCTATCTTCGACTACATGCACGTACCGTCCCGTCACAGGCTTTGTAGCGAAACAGCCACGTTTTTCAACGAGAGTGTGAGCTCAGTAATGCCTCAAGGGTCGGTCTGGAAATGCCAGTCCAGCTGCAGGAAGAGACAGGTGATAGCTGAAGACACAAAATACAATAGCCTTCAGGAAGAAGAGTGGAAACCTGGTGCAGCTGCTTTAGATGTGTCAGAAGCCTGGGTTTGAACTCATGACCGGCCTGTCAACAACTGCAGGCATGTCGCATTTAGCCACACTCTCGGGCTCTGTTCACCCCGAAACAGGTACAGTTTTCTGTGTCTGTTGTTTGCTTGCAAGAATTTGAGCGCTCTTTTTTTTTCTTCTTTTTAACCCTGCCTGTAATTGAACTCATTTCTGTCCCCAAAAGGCCACACCTTCAGGAGTGTGTTGTTTACTTACAAGAGGTTGGGCTCGGTAACGCCTCAAGAGTCAGTCAGGAAATGTCAGTCCAGCTGCAGGAGAGCCAGGTGATGGCTGAAGACACAGTAGTAAAACTACCATTCATTCATTCATTCATTGCTTTAATTTTTTATATTTTTTTTCCCTTTCCGTCCTCATTCATTCACTGGCATGTTATCTATTCTGCAAGTCGTGGACCAATGGGTAGATTCGTGCGCCCTTCCTTTTCCGGAATGTTGTTCGCGTCAGAGGCATCTAATCCCCGAGAGACAACTGCTGGTTGAAGGAAACTTCAGAAGAATGTTCAGAGAAGCTACTTGTCATCTTCACCAAGAGAACACAACAAGTAGGACCCATCATTTCCAACTAGCTTCTTTACCCGAATTATAGACTTTCCGTATATGGGGTAAATTTCAGTCTTGATACAGCGATAATTTCTGGGTGTTCGATTCAGGTGTGAAGACTTGGGAACTCAATGTTCCACTGGAGCAGTGCAAGGCAGATTGAGGCTAATAATTTTTTTATTTTTATTTTTTTTTAATTTGGACCATTTATAAATTTATTTGTGACACTGTCATCCTTGCGGAAGGCCATGCTAATCTTCTCTGTATAGTTCCTTTTTTTTTTTTTTTTTTTTTTTTTTAGCTCCAATTTTAATGGATGCCCCAAAGGGTAGATTGAGACTATAGTGTCTGCAGCTGCTATGAAAAAACTAGTACCTACCTTAATAAGCTCTGGACGTGATTGCAGTCAGATTCATCGATGACTGGCCGTAATTGCAGTCAGGTACTTTCAGGGAAGTGCTAGTCTAATCGTGAGAAAGCCCTCATTACAGCAAACTGAGGTGTCAAATGCTGTCCTTTCCTAAAGGAGGTAGGCACCAGTCTACCTGTTTTCCAAAGAGGGTAGGTGCAGTCTTACCTCTTTGGGAAAGAGGTCACGGTCCTGTCCCAGGCACTTGTGCTGATGGGGTTATTATATGCCCCTCTGTCATCACCGACAGGTGTATCGTGACAAGCGGCTTGTCGGTGACGAACACTGCAGGCTTTGACTGCCAGGTTGTGGTTGCTCGCCAGGGGCGAGAGCCCAGTCGCAAAGAGGATTGGATTGAATACCTGCATCTGGACGTTTTTGTGGAGAGGTGCAGAAAATGGCGATCGAAATTCGAACTGCATTTCTGCATTTGTGCATAAACACATCCAGATTCAGGAGCTTAGTCCAATCCCCTTTGCTAGTGGGACCCTCACCCCAGGGTGCCTCGTGGTGGAATCATTCACTGAATCAGGGATGTGGTTGCTGTGCTCATTCTTCGAAGAATTTGGAGGCGCTCTGTGTTCATAGTTCGTACGTTGGGGAGCGAGTTCAATGAGAGAGCTCATGGTTTGTACGTTGACGAGAGAGTTGGAATGGGAGAGGTGGTGCACAAGATAGTTCTACCAGTAGTCTGATTGTGGTTGCTGGCCAGGGTGCCTTGTACGTTGGGGAGCGAGTTGGATGGGAGAGCTCATGATTTGTACGCTCTGCATCAGGGATGCGATTGCTGTGCTCATTCTCCGAAGAAACTGGAGGCACCCCGGGTTCATAGTTGGTACGTTGGGGAGCGAGTTGCATGGGAGAGCTCATGATTCGTGCGCTGACAAGAGAGTTGGAATGGGAGAGGTGGTGCACGAGATAAGTTTTCCCAGTAGTCTGGTTGTGGCTGCGGGCAAGGGTGCCTTGTGGTGGAAGCGTACACTGCATCAGGGATGTGGTTGCTTTGCTCATTCTCCGAAGAATTGGGACGCACTTTGGGTTCATAGTTGGTACGTTGGGTAGCGCGTTTGATGGGAGAGCTCATGGTTCGTACGTTGATGAGAGAGAGTTGAAATGGGAGAGAAGGTGCACAGGATGGTCTTAGCGGTAGTCTGATTACCGTGGAGATGCTGTTGCTACAGGTTATAGTGGATTGTGGATTATAGGAGACGAAGTTCGAGGGGAGTCGTCAGGACTACATAGTACATAGTACTTGTCGTACGACGTACGGCCTTCCTCCAAGCAGAGAATGTGCCGAATGCATTGGCATCGAGGCTGTATTTAACCTGAAAGATGGCTGTATGCATTAACGTTGAGGGTGTGTTGCGCGCAGGAGAAGTGGATGGCCTTGTAGATGTGAGCCATTGAGTCTCTGGGAGAGCGACAACATCAGAAGATTGTCCTCAGCTGTGGTCACCTTCAGACAGACTTCAATTTTCGGTTATTTCTTTTCGGGATGCGGGTAGCCCCTTACATTATATCTGTGCTGACTTGAGCTCCTGACCCGCTTATCAACAGCTACTTTCATGTACGATTTTTGCATCCACAAGGCTGGGCTATGACTGTCTTCAATTGATTTTACATTCTTTGTCATTCGTGCTGTGAAGTATTACAGGGAAAAGGAGATGAGGGTGAGCTCAGAAGCTTGTGTGTGTGTGTGGTGGTGGGGGCGGGGCGGGGGGGGGGGGGGGGGGGGGGGGGGGGGGGGAGGGAGGAGGGGAATTCGTGTAGCATGCGCAGGTACTTATTGCAAACATGATGCTTGTTGGTTTAGAGAAGAAGTACAAGAATATTGTGATGACATCCTACCCCTTGAGCGCGGTGGGCCCGCGGGGGGAGGTCGTGTTCCACTGCGCGCTGAAATTGGCCCGAAGTTTTGATTCGGGCCGGCGGATGAAGGCGATCGAGGGAGGGGCGTTGTGCAGAGTGGCGCGCGTACCGAATTGTTCACAGCGCGCCACTAAACGAGAGAGCGCGCCTACGGGGCGAGTAGACGGCGGGCGTCGATGTGCATTAATATCTGAACGCGCCCGCCGTCGGATTGCAAGAAAGTGTCGTTTCGTGCCCCGGCCCCCTTTTTCTTTTCTTTTTTTAATTTTTGATTTTGTATATTCTTGAATTCGTTTTTCTTTTTCTTTCTTGAAATCGTTTTTCTTCTTCTTTCTTTAATTCGTTT